TGGGTTTGGTTGTACTTCCCACCTGGCCAGTTCATTATTCCAAGTGTTTTGCCCCTGGAGCTGGCTCACTGTTACCCAGGCTGTTGCTCCTGAGCATTCCTGGACACCCTGTAAATGCTCTTTTCTCCCTCAATCTGGGAGTCTGGCTAAATCCCACTGTCCTGTATCCCTGTCCCTGATCACTGCCTTCCCCTCACCCTGCCCTGTCTGGCATGGGATAGTTTGTCTAGGAATGCAGAGGGGTTGAATTTGGGGTGTTGGCTGGGAGCTCACCAAGAACTCCCAGGAAGGAGGGGGTCAGGTACTGGGAACAATCCTGGCCCCTCCATGTAGAAAGTTAGGTGGGATGTGTCTGTTCCTAGCCCGTATCCATTGCTCTGTTGATTACTTAATTTAAATTCCATGACAACCAAATTCTCATGAACCCCCAAATCCTTACTCCTCAGTTTGGTGTTTTCTGTGGGGTCTTATCCCACAGATGGCAGAGCTTATCCTTGGCTGTGTTTTTGGCATAGAATTAGTTGGAATTTGGACCTTGTGTTTTTCTGGTCTGGTATGAGCAGGGGATGCAGGAACTGCCCCTTTACTTTGGAAGGACAGGGCTGTCCTTGGGGATAGGCTGGCTGGGGAATGTCCCCAGTATGGGACACAGGGGGTGGATGAACCTCAGCATTGCCTGGGACAATCCCACCTTTTGTGATGGGAAGGGACACAGGCTGGTTTGGGATGTGTAGGGACCAAAAGTGTCCTAATCCAAAGGAAACTTCTCAAGGGTGATATTCCTGGGGGGAGCAAAGGATGACAGTAATGGGATGAGGAGAGGCTATGGTTCAGAGGAAAGGCCTAGGATCCCCTGGAAATGCCTTGGACAGCCTGGACTTCGCTCTGGGGTGGTCTTTGGGGAGCTGTGGGAGCGCTGGCTCTATGTCCCGCTCCGGTTACAGGAGCCCTGTTTGGGGACTGGTTATCATCCCAGTCAGGTAATAAAGAGCATTAATTAAGCAGGAATGCTGGGCTGGGATCCAGAGGGAGCCAGGGGCTCCTCCAGGGTCACCGGAGGGGATGGAAGCAGCCCAGGGTTGGGTATGTGGGGCAGTAGGGACGTCCTCCTGCTGTTCCGTATGGAAGCAGCGTTGTCCGGCTGTGCAGCCCAACCTCTGATTTTGCTGAGGTGGCAGGCATGGGAGGGATGCTATTCCCAGCTGGAGCGGCTTCTCCCTGCGTGGCAGAGCCATCCAGGATGGGAAGAAGCTCCGAAGGCAAGCACTGGCCCCGCAGCTCCCCGGGCTTAGGCGGTGTTTGGTTTGTTTGCCATGGCCCGGATTCCTGGTGCTCGCGGCCAGGCCAGCAGCCAATCCTCCCGGGCCGAAGGATAAACACGGCAGGAGGGAGAAGGGGGTGAGGAGCGGCGCGGGGCCCCGGGAATGTGCCGATGCTGCAGCCTGGCTCGAGGATTGCACAACCAGCCCTGGTGCACGGACACAGGGATGAGCCCAGGGATGTGCCGGGGCTCTCCGCCTCGCCAAGCACTGGCACTGCTGTGGCATCCCAGGTCATTCCTGGTGGAGCTTTGTGCCACGTGTCCTGCTCATCCAGGTATCCCACTGCTGCTCCAGCATGTGCTGGAGGACCATTAGGAGAGGGACCACATGGAACCAGAAGCTCCTGGGGTTTCCTGATCCTATTCTATCGTGCACCAGTTTGGATGTTTTATCACCTCCCAGGCTGTTCCATGCCTCAGTTTTCCCTGAAAATTCTCTGGTACGTGGCTTCAATGGCACTGGGAAGCTCTGAGCTTGGCGCAGCCTCTTCTCCTGCTCCTTCTCCTCCTCCTTCTCCCGGGTGTCCCCCCACCCCTGGCTGATGTTCCCCAGCCCCTGCAGAGTGCTGACCTCGTTGTCATCTCCAGCTTCCCACATCTGGTTCTTGTTAGCGCATCCCAGGATGAAGTTCTCCAGCTCTCTCCCTTCCTCCCACCCCCAGGTGACCCAGGCAGGATTAGGGGTGATTTGAAGACAGGCAACAGAGTAGGAATTGAAGAGGGAGGGGGGACTGTTATAAATAGAAATTCCATAAACTTCTCAGCCTATCACTCCAGGAAAATTCCGGGTTAAATCCCTCAGACCTGTAAATATGACAGTTCACAGAGACCAAGCTCTGTTAACTCTTTCCAAGCCCTATGGCCCCGTGCCCATCTCTGGGAGCACCCAAAACTGGGACAAGGAGCTGGGAAGGTGCCACCAAGAGGGATGAGCCGGTTGGAGCAGGGGCAGGGAGGAGGCAGCGGGGTGGGAAGCACCTCTGTTGGGATGTGGAGCGTGTTTGGAGGTTTGGGGAAGGCAGAGAAAACCAGTCCAAACATTGGGATTCCTGACATTCTCACACGTCCGGGGGCCTCAGGCCGCCCGGCTCCGCTCATGAGGAGGGTGCTGAGGGTTTTAACTTCTTGTTCTTCAGGCAGAGGCTGAGGTTTTTTGGGATTGCCATGGCTCTTTTCTCAGAGAAGGGTTGGAAAGTGGAGCAGTGACATGGTGGGAGAGCAGGGTGACAATGCCAGGGGCAGGAGGAGGACAGGGCGTCGGGACCTGGTGGGATGTAGGTTTGGGATGGATGAGATCAGTGCTTCCCTGAGCTCCTTCATCTTTCTTTGCTGGGATGAGATGTGGGAGTCTGTCCCGTGTGGAGCCATGTGGGTGTTGAGCTTCCCTCCTTGGTGGCTTCCCACTAATCCCCACTTGGGAGGGGGAGGGAATGCCGGTGCTGTTTGGATCCCGTGACTATGGAGCAGTATTAGCTTTTAATTAATCACCTAAGCTGGCTTTGGTAAGAGCCTGGCTGCATGGAAGCTCCGGGCCGTGGGACATTCCTTGTCCCTGCCCTGATACCCCTGGATTTGTGCAAATCCCACTGTCCTGCAGCAGAGGAAGGTCCTTGATTTCTGATGGGCAGCCACATCTCCCCTCCAGCCCTGACGCACCTCTCGCGTCACTGGGCTTATCTCGCCCTCCTCAAGGTGACTTCAAGGAAGCAAAGGAATCCTGGAATGGTTTGAGTTGGAAGGACCATAAAGCTCATCCAGTACCGCCCTCTTGTCACAGGCAGGGACACCTTCCACTGTCCCGGGTTGCTCCAAGCCTCATCCAACCTGGCCTGGAACACTTCCAGGGATGGGGCAGCCACAGCTTCTCTGGGCACCCTGTGCCAAGGCCTCAGCACCCTCAGAAAATTGGGAAGCACAGCATCCTACCATCTATAGATGGCTTCTCATCCTTCCTGGAGGGTTCCTGGGCTCCTCTTCCACCACGGAGCAGCTCCTGGAGTTCGGAGGTGTGAGGGAAACCTGCTGGGGTTGGTCTTTTCTTGGACAGGCTGAGTCACAAAAATTGGCCAAGTGCTCTTTTTGCTGCTTTGATCGTGGATCCCAGTGCTGGAAACTGGGACGAAGACAAGTTTCCTGATGGCCTTTGGGGTGGGTGTCTGCAAAAGGCATCCTGTGATTTATAGACCAGGGGTTTTTGGCTGAAAGGGAGGCAGTGGAGCCTGGGGAGGATTCCCACCCTCCTGGAGTGCTCATCCCTGGCAGGAGGTTTCAGGGATGTTATGGAATGACAGTGATGGCTTGAAGAGGTGCCTTGGGAGATGTTTGTGGTGAAGTGTTGGGAGTGGGCTATGGCAGAGGTCCTTAGGGATAAGCAAGGGACACACAGATGGCCATCAGTGATCTCCCATAACTCCGAGGACAAGAGGGTGGAGCTACCACATCCCAGGAACTTCAGGGCAGGATGTGGCTGTCACAGTGGAAGGACAGAAGCCACCCCTCTGCTCCCCTGGCATCTGCAACTCCATTCAGGATGTGCTGGCACAGCTGCAGATCCTGGAGGCTCTGCCTGCTCCATCCTTTCCTCACCTCAGTGCTCACCTGGAAGCAGCATCGTGTGTCCCTGCTCCAGATGGATCCCGTGTTCACATGCAAGAACACCCTCACCCTGTCCCCCAGGTCCCGGCCACGGAGATGTCCCAAAAACAAACCGTTACCCAGGATCTTCCCCACCTCCAGCCAAGGCTTCTAAGGCAGAGATCCCTTCATCCACACACACCCTGTCCGCTTGGCAGAATTCCTAGCTGGATTTATTTCTGCCGATTTGCCTGTCTTGGTATGAAAGGGATTTGCAGAGGGAGAGCTGCAATTGGCCGGGGTGGGCTGGAGCCCCCCGGGCCGGCCTTTGCGGATCAGCGGGTGACCTTTCCCGGGAACCTGGGGGATCCAGGCGGGCAGGGGCTTCTCCTGGGCTTTCACGTGGGGTCTTTCAGGATGGTCTTTCACTGACTTCCTTATCGGAGCAGGGGGAGTTGGATCTTCTCTTCCACTTTCTTGGCAGTGCCTTTGGCACCGTGGGCTGGCTCCAGCCCTGGCAGCCTCCGGACTCCCACTTGGGAGAGACAGATAAAGGAAGGATTTTCTGTCAACAAAACCCTGCCCAGCTTCCCTGGAACAGGGCAGGGAGGGGAGGAGGAGCCCTCTGGAGAAAGGACAGGGAAATCCACCGCCTGCCCATGGAGCAGAGGAGAGGGAGGAAGGTCGAGAGTTGATCCAGGTTGTGGTGGAGAATTTCAGTGTTCTGCAAAGGGTCCAAAGGGAATCATAAAATGTCCTGAGTTGGAAGGGATCCCAAAGGATCTGGTTCCCACTGTGTGTCTGTGTCCTTGCCCTGGCTTGTCCCAAGTGCCCCATCTCCCAGAATGAGGCTTTACACCGGGATGCAGTGGGTGTAGACAGCTGGCAATCCCCAGGGATCTGCTGATCTAGTGAGTCATCCCTGCCCATGGCAGGGGTTTGGAATGAGATGATCTTTAAGGTGATCTTAAGATGATCTTCCAAGCCATTCCGTTATTCCATGATTCTCAGATCAGTTCCTTGACTGTGTAAGGGTCTGGTGGTGTTTCCAAGGTCCTTTCCTGTCCTTCTCCCAGCTCATGCTTCCACCTCCTCTCCCCTCCAGGCCACGACATTAATGGAGCTCTGGAACCATCCAACATCGACACCAGCATCCTGGAAGAGTACATCAGCAAGGAAGACTCTCCAGAGATGTAAGTGCTTCCCTTGCTCTGCAGCAGGAACAATGTTCCTTGTGATTTTCCATGGAGAGGTCACAGAATCCTGGAATGGTTTGGGTGGGAAGGAGCCTTTGGGTCAGAAGGGACCTTGAAGCCCATCGGCCATGGGCAGGACACCTTCCACTATTCCAGGTTACTCCAAGCCCTGCCCAGCCTGTCCTGGAACACTTTCAGGGATGGGGCAGCCACAGCTTCTTTGGAAACCTGTTGAGCAGTTTCCAGCCCTGAAATTTGAGGAATCATTTAGGAATCAGCTCTGCCTCTCCAGAGTCTTCCTGGATTGCTCTTTTCTCCTTTATCATTTCCAGCTCTGTCTCCTGTCTCTTCCTGGCTTCTTACCTTCAAGTTTTCCCAGTCTTTTTTGTTCCCTCTCTTCATCAGGGCACCATAAACACTTTTTGTTAATCTGAGCACTGGGAGCTCAGATTAAATCCCCAGGACTACAAACATTTGGAGAAGGGAAGGATCTCCCTGTGTATCCCAACTTTGGGAATAAGGATGGAGTAGACCTGGAGAGCACCAAGGGAATCTGGGAGCAGGGTGGGGATCTTTGGCACGGCTGGTCTCTAAAGCTGGAGCAGAGTGAGCAGATCCTGCTGGCTACACATCCCTTGAGGTTGCTGTCCTGGGCACTGCAGAACTTCCTGGGTGGATTTTGGACTCTTCCATCAGTCCCACTGACCCGTTGCCCTGATGGTGTCCCGTTTTCTCCCTCAGCTGCTTCCCTGAGATCCCTGCTCCCACCAGCTACACACACCCCCAGCCCTCCAGCTCCGCCGGCATCCCTGCACCTCCCGCCAGCTCCATCAGCAGCGTGAGCAATCCCTCTCCCAGCGCTCCCCTCCACCTCCCTCCCGCTGGCAGCCAGCTCCCCATCCGGCATGGTCCTCTCCTGGCCAATCCCTGCGGAGCCGCCTACGGAGCTCACCTCAACTGCAACAACAACAATGGCATGGTGGTGCCCAAGGGCTTCCTGGCTGGCCACTGCCTGAACAACGTGGTCCCTCCAATCAAATCAGAGCCCAAGGCCTCCTACGCGCCTGGGTAAGTGGGAATGGGATGGCGGGATAAGGGTGGGTGCTGGGATGGAGGCTCCTCCAGGCTGGTGGCACCTGGAGGGTCCCACGGAGCTGTGACGTGTGGCAGCGCAGCTCTGTGGTAAGTCCTTGCTTATGGACGAGTGGAGCTCCTGAAGCTTCCCAAAAGGTTTTTTGGGACCATCACCCATGCCATCGTAGAGTACTGGATACCTCTGCTGGGCATCTACAGGTGGGAGGACACTGGAGCATTTTTTTAAGGAGGAAGAGACAGAATAAAGTGGAACAAGACAAAATTCAGTCTCTGGGATGGAACTCAATCTCTGGGATGTTGCCATGACTATCCCAGAGGATAATTCGCTACACTGGGCAGGGAGATGTTCTTCTCATGGCCTGATGTTGTAGATGCTGTGCTCCAGAGAAGGAGAAGATGGATCTGAGGTGGATGTGTCCTGTTCAACAAGCTCTGGGGAAGAGGAAGGGCAGGTTTTGAGATTGCTGATGGACCCAGTTGGAGAATTATTCCCAAGAGGGGAAAGGATGTGGTTCCTGCTCTCTGGGATGGAAGGAAGGGATCAGTAACATCCCAAGGTGCTGTGCTCTGCTCCAGCCTGGATCTTTAGGTGGTGGTGGCCCCGGACAGCCTTCTCCCATGGGATTATGGATGTAAAGACAGTGAGGCCAGGATGGCTCTTCTCCCTCTGCCTTGTGCCCTCTAGTGTTGCCAGCAAGCACAACGTGGGGATTCCCAAATTTGGGAACACTCAAGTCATCGACTTTCACCCTTTGGATGAACTTGGAAAGAGATCCCAGAAAGCTAAAATGAAAAATCTACCTTTCTTTTATTCCCAGACCAGGGGGTTTTCCCTTGCAGTGATCCCAGAAGGATACCTGGAGCTTAAGGGCAATCAAAAGCATGAAGTGATGCCTTGTTATGTCCTTTTCTTCTGGATGCATCTGGAATTCTGCAGGATGTCATGAGTAAGGATCACACCTTGCTGTCAGAGGAGGAGACCTCATTTGGATGTAGCTGAGCTAGATCAGCTTTGATGGCAGCATTCCCTCAGTATCCCACAATGACTCTTCCCCCTTGTGTCAGGCTTTTTCCAGTGGAGAATCATGGAATATCCTGGAAGGGACACATAAGGATAATGGAATCCACTTCCTGGCCCAAGCATCCCATCATGTGCTCAGGGACAATGTGGTGGATAACAACAAACCCTTCCCTTGGACTGGGCACAGCCACACTACCTCCCAGTGGGAATTCTGCAGTGTCCACCTTTTCCAGCCTTCTGGATTCCTTGAATTGTGCTGTTCCCTTTTGTTACTGGCCGAGATTTGGCTTGCTGGTGCATAAATCCTGATAAATCCATAGGAAATACAGTATGAACTCAGATCCTGCATGGCAAGGAGCCTGGAAATAAGGCTGGGAATAGATGCTCCAGCCAGGCATGGGAAGGGAATGATGGAAAGATGCTCCAAGGGAAGGTGGAGGATGAGGGAAGTATGGTGAGGGGTTTTTTGGAATCAACCTACCTCATCCTTCTCTAGCCCCTGCTGTGTGCAGCTTCCCATGGAGAATCCAATCAATGGGCCTTAGGCTTCTCTGGTCTAGGAAGATCCCATATCCTGGTTCCCAGCTGGAATTGTGGGTGCTGTCAGGAGCAGAGTTGGTGCAGTGTGTCCTGTGCTTTTCCTCCCTTTCCCAAAATTCATTTGCTTTTTGGCTGGCTTTCATCCAAGAAGCACTGGGATTTGCCTGGGATTATCTCACATCCATAAAGCTGATGGGGTAGGATGGGTGAATGGAAAGGAATTCCTGTGGAAAATGGGAATGTGACATGGTCTCCCTCCCTGTCCCTGCTGTGCTACCACGTGCAACCTGGTCCTGCCATCCCTGGCCATGGATGTGCTGGAAAAGGCAGCTGGGAGCTCCCACTTTTTTTTGGATGGTGTTTCACAATCAGGACCAAATCCTGCTCCTGGTGATGTTGGAATGTATCCAGGGGAGTACAGCAGGAGCTGTGGTGGAGTTTAGGTTTGTACAGGCAAAATCTGTTCCATGGGCTTCCCAGATCCCCCAGAGCCTCCCATTTCACAAAATCATGGAATTGTTTGGATGTGAAGGGACTGTAAAGCCCATCCAGTCCCAACACTTGCCATGGGCAGGGTCAACTTCCACTATCCCAGGTTGGTCCAAGCCTTTTCCAACCTGGCCAGGAACAGCTTCCCGGGATGGGGAGAGAGAGCTCTGTGCATTCCACTTGATCACTGACTGACATTTCCATGGGAAGCACACCTTTCCCTGCGAAGCAGATAAATTTGTTTGACTTCTTTTCCCTGGAATTCTCACTGTCAGCTCAACAAAACGTCCCTGTTTCCAAGCTCCAGTGGAACCTGTGACAGTGATGGCAATCCCAGCTGGACCCACTCAGGGTATCCGGGATCAACTGCAGGTGCACCTGGGATTCCTCTGCCAGATCCTGGAGGTGCTTAAATCCACCTGGACCTCTTGGTTGTGCTGGAAGCTGGATTAAAATGACTTTCCCTTCTCTTTTCCCATTGCTCCACAGCACTTTGCCAGATTCTCCCCCGGATTCTGGATCGGAAGCCTACTCCCCTCAGCAGGTGAATGGTAAGTGCTTCAAAAAGGGAGAAGGGGGGGGAAAAAAAAATCCTAATCCAAACCCCAAATCCAGCATCCACCCCCTTTTTATTCCGTGAAAGTGGTTGGCTCTGCAGTCTTTATCAGCCGGGAGAAAACAGGCGGCTGCACTACGTGGGGAGATTATCAGTTAGTAAATATCCCTCAGCTTTCGCCCATTGTTCTGCTCCCGGCTGTGGAAAAGGGGAGAGGGACCGGCACAGAAGGAGAGCTGGGAGTCCACGGACACAGAATCCGTGGTGGGAATCCAGAATCCACGGACACTGAATCCGTGGTGGGAATCCGTGGGCGCGGGGAGATCGTGGCAGGGTGGGATGTGGAGCCCGCCATCCCCCTCGTCCTGCCCTCTGCCTCGGGAACACGGAGAGGGAGCGCGTCCCTGACATGGAACCTGGCTCTGGGAAGCAGCCATGAACCCGCCATTCTCCAGTAAGTTCCTTCCCAGCCTTTCCCTCCCCTCCACTGGTCCCAAGGATCTTCTGCTCCCACAGAAATGGCACAGGGAGCTGGGACCGACTCCAGGGTCTCTGCCGGGTACTCCTGGCTTCCCCCAGGAAAGCCACCGAGGGTTGTTTGGTCCCTCTGGTGACCTTCACTGTTCTACCATGGAAAAACTCCTTGGGAAGGAAGGAGGGAAGGTTGTCCTAGTCTCCCTTCCCCCTCAGCAGGAGCACCCTCTTCCCCAGGCTCCAGCCTAGTCCCCACCGGGAACAGCGCCTGTTCCTCTTTTTTTTTTTTTTTCTTGATGGAAGAGGTCAAGAGTTCTGTTTATCTTGCTAAAAAAATCCCTGGAATTCCTCCTGGCCCTTCCTTAAATATAACAAAGAGGCCGGGTTGCTCTCCATGGGGAGAGCTGGCTTTGGAGTGCTCAGAGCTCAGCTGGGAAGGAGAGGAGGCTCCGGAGGGCACCCACAAAGCTGGGATTGCATTTCTGGAGATGATTTTCCCTGGTTTGGGAATGCCTTGGGCAAGCACATCACTTGCCCATCCTTGGCTGGGCTGTCCCTGAGGCAGCTCCTGAAGGAAGGCTGGCCCAGGATTGAGCCTGGAAGGAGGAATCCGGTTCCATGTGTGTGGAAAAGGAACTGAGAGGTCCCAGTGGGAAGCAGAACACCTTAGAAGGGAGCAGGATGGGGGAAAGCAGCCCTGCCCTGGCAGCCTTCAGCAGGATATCCTTGGCGGGGCTTTCCCTGAGGCAGCTCCTGAAGGAAGCCTGGCCCAGGATTGAGCCTGGAAGGAGGAATCCAGTTCCATGTGTGTGGAAAAGGAACTGAGAGGTCCCAGTGGGAAGCAGAACACCTTAGAAGGGAGCAGGATGGGGGAAAGCAGCCCTGCCCTGGCAGCCTTCAGCAGGAGGACCCAGCGCAAACACATTCCAATTTTCCAAACCTTCTGACGGGAGGAGTTTTCCCATTCCTGGTCAAGCGCTTTGGCCTCATTACTCAGCCCCTGCCTGGGTGTTCTGAGGCCAAAGTCCATCCAGCTCAGCCTGGAAAGATCCAACAGGTCCTTCCCTGACGTCCCTCTCGGTGTTCCCAGAGGCTGTGCCTGGCTTGGCCAGTCCCTGGATGTGTTTTCCAGCCGGTTTTCCACACTGGAGCATGAAGAAGCTTTGTCTTGCTTTTAAAATAAGGTCACTTTCTCTTCCTGCCCCGTGGTTTCCTCACATCCCAGGAGTCAGTCCCTCATTCCTGCTGGGATTTTGGTGTTCTGTGGGGACACCTGAAGGCACAGGTTGATGCAAATATCAGGGAAAGGCTGGAAAAACAGATGGGCTTTGTCCTGGTGAAGAAAAAGGAGGCTGGAGAGGGACTTTGGACAAGGGCATGGAATGTCAGGATGGGGGGGAATGGTTTCCCCTCTACCAGAGGGACATTGGGAAGGAATTCTTCCCTGTGAGGGTGGTGAGGCACTGGAATGGATTTCCCAGAGAAGCTGTGGCTGGCTCATCCCTGGAAGTGTTCCAGGCCAGATTGGACATTGCTTGGTGCAACCTGGGATAGTGGAAGGTGTCCCTGCCCGGGAAGGGAGTGGATCTGGAATGTTGGAAGTGTTGAGGAGCAGGGCAGGAAGGGGCATGGATTTGCATGTCCCTCCACACCCGAACCATTTCTGTTGGTGCTGGTGTAGTCAAATCCACCCTAATTATAGAATGGCTTTAGTATCCCATTCCAAATGGAGGAGGAGAAAGGTGGAATCGCATTTGAATGTCCCTTCTTATCTATTTAAATTCAGGGATCAAAATCTCCTCCTGGTTTCAGTTAAAATGTTTAAAAGTGCCCCCTCAGAAATCCTCCCTGGAAGTGCTGGGGGTGTTCAGGTAATTCCATTGACTCTTCTCCCTCATTGTCCTGTGTAATGATAGAATCTTGGAATAGTTTGGGTGAAGAAGGACCTTGAGGCCCATCCCATTCCAAGCCCCTGCCACGGGCAGGGACACTTTCCCTAGCCCAGGTTGTTTGAAGCCTCATCCAGCCTGAGAATCCAAGATAACTGGGTCAGTGCTGCACCTGGGATCAGGACACTCCCAACTTTGGCTCTTTCTTCCTTTCCAGATCCTCACCTCCTCCGGACCATGACTCCCGAAAATATGTGTCACATGACTCCGCCTTCCCGCCTGGAGCACCCTCCTCCTCCTCCGCCTCCTCCTCCACCCCCTCACCTCCAGGGTCCCCCTTTCCCACTTTCCCGGCCTGCAGCGGGATATGTTCCTGAAGGCCGAGCCCCTGATGCCTCCCTACAGCGTCGGGCCGGGAATGGCGCCCGCCGAGCTCCACCATGCCCAGCAATCCCAGATGCTGCACCAGCTCCTCCAGCAGCACGGAGCAGAGTAAGGCCTGGGAATGGCGAGGGTGAGGGAATGGGAGCTGGAGGTGCGTGGATTGCCTGAAGTGTGGGGTTGGGTGGTAGGAACAAACAAGGGAAATCTGTGGAAGGTTCCCTGCCCGTGGAGTGGGGTTGGAGCCAGATGAGCTTTAAGGTCTCGTCCAACCCAAACCATTCTGGGATTCTGTGGAATTAAAGATGTGGCTCAGCACAAGTAGTGACCCAGACTCTGCAGTGTGGGATAAGGTGGGCCAGTGCTGTGGGAATGTTGTGTTTTCCATGTGAGATCCCGCTTGTCCTGTTGTGGGATTGTCACCTCCCGACTCTCCGTTCCCTGCTGAGTGTTCCCACGGTGTCCGCAGCCTCCCGGTGCATCCCGCCAAGAAGCGGAAACACTCCGAGTCCCCCCCCAACACCCTCAATGCCCAGATGCTCAACGGGCTGATCAAGCAGGAGCCGGGAATGGGATCGGTGCCGCTCAATCCCGATCGCGTCCAGACTCCTCCCTGGCACCAGCCGGGAGCGCTCTCTCCAGGTACCCCCCTTACCCCCAGAATTCCAGCCCCGCTCCCGCCGGGCCAGGGGTGTGGGAGGAGGGAAGGTGGTTGCCAGAGGTTGCCAGCCTGTGGGATTCTCCCTGGATCTGGTGTTGCCCAGAAGCTTCAGGCAGTGCCGGTCGCTTCCTTGGGCTCCCACCCCTCTGGATGTTCAGGCAGCGAGTAAAATCGGGATTTAATCCATTTTAACTGTTCCCCACAGGCCTGATTCAGGATAATGACAGCCTGAACGGCTCCTACCTGGACCCCAACTTCCAGTCCATCAAGTGGCAGCCACACCAGCAGAACAAGTGGGCAACTCTGTACGATGCCAACTACAAGGAGCTGTGAGTAATTCCTTCGCTGCTGGGGAAAGTGGGATTCACATTCCTTGGTTTGCCCCTGGGGCTGGGAGCATCCTACTCGAAATATGGGATAAGGATCTCCCTGGGCTGGGCTTTGTGGTGGAGGTAATGCTTGAAGTAATGCTTCCCACTGTCCCTTTCCTACTGGGAATGTTACTCCTCCACACTTTTTATGGATTATTGAGGAGTAGCAGATGACATTTCAGCAGCTTTGGTAACAATTCCAGAGCCACTCAGACCTTGCTCACCATGGAGGGCTTAATTGGCAAGTCCAGCCTTGTCCTGAGGAAAGTTGAGATGAGGATTTTAAATTTAGGATTGAGAATTCCTAGTGTGGGAGGCTGGAGGTCATCCAGAACCACTTCAGGGCAGCTTGAGCAGTGTGGAAAGGAGCTGGAGGAGGAGTGGAAGTGGTTGGGGGGGCAAGGGAGGAAGGAAAAAGAGGAAAGGGGTTTAGGAAATCTAGGAAGTGGCAGACAGGCCAGAGAGGAAGGCTGGGATCATCAAGACAGGGAAGAGAGAAGTGGGAAGGTGGGCTGGGAATTAAGGCAGCAGAGGGTGGAGAGAGCACACCGCAAAGGAGGAGTGCTCAGGAGGAAACCACTCTGGATCCTCCCTGCATTCCTGGGGGGTGACAAAGAGCTGGCAAGCAGTGGGATGGCTTCCAGAAACCTCTCAGGGACCCTCTGTTCCCTCCCAATTCCCTCCCTCCTCTTTCCAAACAGCCAGCTGGGGTCCTGTGGGGGACATGGAGCAGGGAATGCTCTGGTACCTGTGGATAACCTGGGACTATGATCACACTTTGCCTGGGAATGGGAGCCAAGGACTCCAAGGGTGAGGGCAGAGTCCCAGCTTTCCCACGCAAATCTGCTCATCCAGTCTTTATCCCATCTTTCATGGTGGTGCCAGGTCAGGGAATTCTCTCTTGGAGCTAATTGTCTCTTCTGGACGCTGTGGCTGTTTTCCCCACCCACAGCAAGAGAGGGATAATTTGGGAAGACAATTCCTTCTGGTTTACCAAGCCATTTCCATAAGAGAATATCAGCAGCTCCAAAGCCATCCTGCACCTTTCCCTGCTCTCCACCACCAGTTTGCTCCCTCTGGATGTTGGGATGGGGAAAGCTGAGCATCTCCCATGGATCCTGTCCCCAAATCCCTCTTCCATGTGCAGGAATTCCACTGCCACCTCCTCTGACCTCTGTCTGGACACATCACCTCTTATCCTTTGGCTTTCCAGCCTCCCTTTTCCTTCTCATCGCTTCCCGCTCTGGGAAAATGTTTTTCCATCCCAAACACATCACAGCCTGTCCCGTGCCATTTCCAAGCATTTCTATCCCAGTTCCAGAGATTTTCCATGCACCCTGCTGTCCCCAAGTGGATTGGCAGAGACAAACTCCATGACATTTTCTGCTGGGCATGGAGGAGTTGCTGGAGAACATCTACAAAACCAGCCCTGCCCTTTGGATCTTGGGATCACTTCCCTAATGCCTGCTTTCAGGATTTAGGGTAAAAGCCAGAGAAAACCCACTTCTGCAGCATTGAGGTCGTCATCCTGTTGTGTAAGGAATAAATTCCATTGAGGTGACTCCATGGGGATTTGAGGAAGCCACGTGGGCTTTGTTGTGGTGCTGGATTTAGCAGAATTAAGGGTTAAAGGTTGATTGATTAATTTTTAGCTCCACGTTACCTCAGGGGACTCTTCCTGCTCCTGTCCAAGCTGGATCTACATCTCTTTTTAAATAGAATATCCCTTCATTCTCCTGGTGCAGCACTTTCCCAGGATAATCTATGAGAAACACACAAAAAAAGTCCATGTTTCCTTGCTCCTATAATGGCATTTTTTAGGTTGGTTAATTCAAATTTGACAGGTGGGAATTGTCTCCTTCTTTTCTGCTTTTGGGTGTCCTCAGCAAATGAGCAGCATCCACACTGGAATCCATAATTATTTCCCCAATTTAGCTTCAAAGGAGCAGCCATTCCCAGTCTGGTTTCTGCTGGAAGCTGTCCCCAGTCTCAATATGCTGTTTGAGTTCCCTGTGATCCAGGTGCTCAAAACCTTTTCACAGCTTCAGGAATGTGAATCATCTGAATTATCTGATTTTTCCTACTCTTGATCCTAAGAAAAGAGTCCAGAAAGGAGGTGAAGGAGGGAGAGCATGGGAAGCTGTCCAGGTTCTTACCAGATTCTTGGGAGTGATTACAGGGCAAAAAGTACAATTAATGCTATTCCATGTTTTCCTCCCTTTGCACACAAAAAATTAGGTTCCATAAAGGGATGGGGTAAGGATTAGGTTCCATTCCAGGCCCGTGTCTCAGGTTTTGCCAAGGAATCTGTGTTGTTGAAGGAGACAGAAATCCCTGGATTAATTTTATGTATAACATAAAATGTTTTTGGCCTTTTGCTCTGATTTTGTGGTTTTAGGCTCAGTGAACATTTCCAGGGATGAGCTGGTTTCCAGCAGCGGAGCCAAAGAGGCCTGGAACCAGGCAATTCCCTAATTTACTCCTGGGAGAAGGAGCCATTCATCTCCCTGACAGCGGGCTCCGATAAATTCCAGCTCCCTCCTCCCTCTCGCAGTTTGAGGGAAGGCAGCTGGGAATAGTGCAGCCCTTCATGGAAGCATCTCCATGCTGAGGCCAGAGCCTTGGAACTGGGAGCTGGGAAAACGGGAAAAGGTGCTGTTCTTTTCCCATCCAGCAAACTGGTGCTCTCTGGGGGCCAATCCTGGGGTTTTGAGGTTGCACCCCTTGGCTGGTAGGAGTGTCTGGATAAACAGCTCCAGACTTGGCTGTGCTGCACATCCTGGATCTCACCAAGGGAATGGAGACCAGTGAGATGTTGTCCAGACCTGCTGGATGTGTTTTGGGATATGTGATATGGGGTGCTGGTGATGGATCATGGATGTGTCCCGGGAAGCTGAAGGGAATACACAGTATGGACACACAGTGTGGGAGATTGTGTGGGAGAGATGACAGTGTCCTGCTTCTCAGTATCCTGGATGCAAAAGAAATCAAGGAATGTCTTTGGATTAGGGGTCTCCCAATATTACATCGTAAGAGTGGTTTAGATATGGGGAAGCCTGGGTGGACAGAAGGAAGGAAGGAATGGGGGAACATGAGCATTCCTCTGCCATCTTGCTCTTGGCCAAATCTCAATACAATTCCCTGTGGGGAGTTTGTAACCCCTTACCCTCACTGGGATCAGGAAAACCTCCTCTGATCCTGCCCTTTTTTCCTGCCTTAATCCACCCCTGTCAGTGGGGATGTTCGGGATCAAATAATCCATTTGACCCCAGACCTTTTATTCCTGACACTTTGCCCTTTGGCCCCTGCCCTGTCCCTGGAAAAGCCAGCATGAAAAGCAGCTTCTTCCCTCTGATCAATCCCAGTGCAGGGATCCCCATTTGGGGGATGCAGCAACACAGCCATTTGGAAAATGGGCAAATCAGTGAAAAGGAGCCTCTGGAAGGGGATTGTGGAAGACCTGGAATCTCCAGAAGGCAGAGGAGGGGGGCCTGCCTGTCTCCCCTCTGTCAGCACACGTTTAGCAGCCATCAGTTTTCTGATTTGGGAAGCATCCATGGTTTGAAAGTTCAGACAGACCCTCCCTCTCCTTGGGGCTTTGCCAGTTAAAAAAGTGGGAAGAGTGGTGAACACTCAGGAGCCCTAAAAACAGCCACGAATGGCTTCACTTGGGTCCCCTTGGGATGAGAGTGCTTGGGTCAGCTTCAGCTGCGTGTCCCAGTCAGGAATATCCAGATGGAGAATCCAGGGGTGAGGCTGGGAGGAGGTTGGGGAATTCCTCTCGTGCCTCTGGGCTAAGGTAGTGCTCTGCTCCCACCGCCTGGTTTGTGTCTGGAGCAGGGCACAGCATTCCCGACTCCCTGGGGCGTAAGGAGTGAGTAGTTCCTCGTGGCTATCCCAGAATTACTCATGGCAACCTGGAATCACCCCAGCTGTCATCCCCATTAACTCCTCAGGTGATTGCAGGGGGAGAATGGTTTTATTCCAGAAAAAAAGGAGGGATACACGTGAAGAATCCCTATCTCCTGCTTCCCAGAGTCTCCTGAGTTCTGACACATTTCTTACTGTCAGTCTGTCCATCTGCCATTGCTCCAGTCCTTCTGGAGCTGGAAGTCAGAAGTGGTTTGGTTTTGGGGGAAAAGTACTCCATAATTTTTAAACCTGAGATCCAAGGCTGGGCTGAGCTTCCCCCTTTATCTCATCCCTTGTTCCTTAATTAAAAACAGTGGGATTTGGGTGTTCTGCGGGATGAGAGGCAGCTCCTTCCCCCCTTTTGAGGGCCCACCAGCCCAGGACTGGGCTTTATGGATGGTGAGGAAAACAGACTCACTGCAAAGGCCACATATTTCCCTGATTCCCATGGAAACCAGCCCATTAAGGAGATGTAGATTAAACCTTTCCAGCTGGTGTGTGTTCATGGAGCAGCCAGGACCCCTCCTCTTCCCTCCCTCTCCTCCTTCTCCAGACCTGTCCGTAGGGAGAGCTGGAATCTTTTCCACAGCAGCCACAGCAGGTGGTTGTGATTTCAGCAGGAATTCGGGATACAAGGGTACAGCTGGTAGAAGGTAACATTGGGAATGCCACAAGGTGTGGGTCAGTCTGAGCTGCTACTCCCAGTGAGCCACGTTGAAGGGATGCTCCATGCTTTGGGCAGGCTTTGGAACTTGGGATCTCCATATTCATTCCCAGTTGAATGGGAAGAGCTGTTGAATGATGTGGGTCAGAAGGGACCTTATAGATCATCCAGTGGTGATCCATGGGCAGGGACACCTTCCGCTAGCCCAGGTTGCTCCGAGCCCCATCCAGCCTGGCATGGAACACTTCCAGGGATGGGATATCCACAGTTTCTGTGGGAAATTCCTGTTCTCACCTGCTCCCTCTTCCCAGCCCGATGCTCACGTACCGCGTGGATGCCGACAAGGGCTTCAACTTCTCCGTGGGAGACGACGCCTTCGTGTGCCAGAAGAAGAACCACTTCCAGGTCACCGTGTACATCGGAATGCTCGGCGATCCCAAGTACGTGAAGACCCCCGAGGGCCTGAAACCTTTGGAATGCTTCTACCTGAAGCTGCACGGAGTGAAGGTAAGCGGGAGCTGAGGGACCGTGGCGAATCCAGCTGGGAAAGGAGGGGTTGGGAGGTGGCTGGGGACAGGTAACAGCACCTCTTCATGTAGTAGAGGAATGTGTGGATTCACACAATTATGGAATTGGATAGTTTGGAAAAGCCCTCTGGGATCATGGAGTCCAACCCTTTCCCCAGCACTGCCAAGGCCACCAGTAATCCATGTCCCCAGGTGCCACATCCATACAGCTATTAAATCCCTCTAGGAATGGTGACTCTACCACTGTCCTAGGCAGCCTGTTTCTATGTCTGACCACCCTTTCCATGAAGGAGTTTTTCCTGATATCCAGTCTAAACATCCCCTGAAGCCATTGAAAGATGGACTCAGTCTGGCCATCTTCAGGATTGCTTCCCACTCACCTTTGACTCTGGAGGGATAAAGGCACTTCAGGAAGATCCTTCCACCCTCAACTTTTTTTGACACTTGGACAATGCTTGCTCTCAGGCTGGGTGTTCAAAGGTGGATGTACCCTGTCATGGAAGGGTGGGCAGAGAGCTGGGAGGGAGGAGGTGGAAAGGGGAAGGTCTCTGTGCTCTGTGCCACATTCCCAAATTGTCCTCTCCAGCTCGAGGCCTTGAACCAGTCCATCAACATCGAGCAGTCGCAGTCAGACCGCAGCAAACGGCCCTTCAACCCCGTCACGTGAGTATGTCCTTGTGGGAATGAGCATCCTGTGCTTCACAGAAATAAGCAACAGCAGGAGAAGGTGGGGAAATGGTGGAGTTGGAGGTCTCCCACTCCATTGTGTGTCACACTCTCCAGTTTTCTCCTGTTTTCCTCTCTTTGTATTCCCAACCTTGCTCTGTGCCCAGGTCATAGACTGGTGGAGCAGGCCAGAAGATGGCCATTCCCAAAAAAGCTCTCCTCTCCAGGTTGTGGCTCCAGCCTCTCCATACCTGGTTCCTCAGGGCATGAAGTATGTGTGGCAGGTCCCAAGACAGGACCAGTGTGCAGTTGGGAATGAGGAAAGAGTGTTGTTGGGCTCAGGGCCTCCAGGTGCAGGAAAACTGCGTACTTCCCACCTAAGGAAGGAAGAGATAGGAGAGGAGTGGGAAAAGACAGGCAGCATTCCCAGATAGCCACCATCCTCACTCATTCCTTTGTTTCCTTTCCTTCCAGGGTGAACCTCCCCCCAGAGCAGGTCACCAAGGTCACTGTGGGGCGGCTGCACTTCAGCGAGACCACGGCCAACAACATGAGGAAAAAAGGCAAACCCAACCCGGACCAGAGGTGAGGGAGAACACAGGGGCCTCCTCCAGAACATCCTGAGAATCCTGCAGATCTGCCTGTCCCTGGGTTGGGCAGAGTGGCTGGAGTGGGATGTGGAATAGGGCTTGGATTGTGGACACCAGAAGGGTGTCCCTGGTCTGGGCGGGGTTGGGGGCACGCAGCACAAGGAGAGGGGGTGCTGCGAGCCCACCGTGGTGCCCAGTGCTCCAGAGGGGATGGAGATCTGCTCTTCCCAGCACAGGATGTGTCCCTGAGCTGTGTCCCTCTGCAGGTACTTCATGCTGGTGGTGGCCCTGCAGGCACACGCCCAGAACCAGAACTACACGCTGGCAGCCCACATCTCCGAGCGGATCATCGTCCGGGTAAACCCCTGTCTCCTCCCTCCATCCCCACACTCCTTTGCTGCACCATCCTGGGCTGTTTCCCACATTCCACATCCACAAAATGTGTGGATGTGGGTGGTGGTTTAGTGGTGAATGTGGTGGAGGTGCTGGGTTGGCTTTGATGTTCTTAGAGGTCTTTTCCAAACTTGATTTCCCACCTTTCCCACCTCCTCCAAACTCTTACTGCCTTGCTTGTAGCTTTCCCTGTCCACACTTGGGTTCTGGCTTCAGACTTTCCAAACCTGGTTTAAGAGCCTGTTACAGGATAAGGAAGGAATCCCATTCTCCAAATGGGATCCAGTAGAATTGTTGGGAATGAGGGAAGAGTGTTGTTGGAATTCTGCAGCAGAAACAAGATGTAGGAAAATTGGGCACTCTCCCAGAACACCACCTTTTTGTGTCCTAAGGCAGGGGAGCAGGAAAAGAAAGGCACCATTCCCATGCTCTCCCAGGGTTTCACTGGAGCACTCAGCTCCAAAACATGAAAGCAGGTATTAAAACCTAAACCTCAGACAAGAAGTCCACGATGGATTAGGCAGCTCCCAGGATGGCCAGCACAGAATTTCAGGGAATTGCAGGCAGCCTGGAATGCTCTGAATGTGGAACCCAGGAGTATCATCCATGTCACTTGGTTTCCCGCTGTCCTGAGTGGCTGCAGCACTGATAGCTGGGATAACAGCTGAAGGAAGCGAGGATATTCCTTTTGGAAGAGGAGAGGAGCAGGAAGGGCCAACCTTCCCCATCTCTGCTTCCCAGCATTCCCCTCCCTGCTTTTCAGTCAGTCCCTGTTGTCCCATTTCTCCACAGGCTTCCAACCCGGGGCAGTTTGAGAGCGACAGTGACGTGCTGTGGCAGCGGGCGCAGCTCCCAGACACCGTGTTCCACCACGGCCGCGTGGGAATCAACACGGACCGCCCGGATGAAGCCCTGGTGGTCCATGGCAACGTGAAGGTCATGGGGTCCCTGATGCACCCTTCGGATGTCCGAGTGAAAGAGGACATCCAGGAGGTGAGAACCTGGAAAGCAGGGTGGGCTTGGGGTCACCAGGAAGAACTCCAGTGGTTCTTGCGGATCCCTTCCACCTCGGGATATTCCATGATCCTGTGACTGTAGAGCGGATGGGAAGTGCCTTAGGATTCTTTCTGTCCCAATCACAGCCAGTCCACTGTGTCTTAGGGAATATTGACTCTTCCAATGTTAACCAGAAGTAGCAAACAGTGGGAAAATGGTGGAAAATGAGTGAAAAAAAGGTCAGTGTGGCAGGTACCACAGTGGGCCTTGCCAGAGCCTGGGTGAGAGGCTTGGCTGTGCTCTGAATTCCTCTGGATTTGCCTGTCCAGAAAAGCTGGATATAATCATGTCACCTGTCTTTGGGAACTGTCTCTTTCCTGTGTCTGGTTCTGCAAAGAGACTCAGTCTCCTGATTTCCCTGTCCAAGGATCTTGTCCCAGCCTGGATGTTAATCCCAGTGTTTGTCCTTGTGACTGCTCAGAACAGGGTTCAGGGCTGTCTCCCAAAAGAATTCCCATGGGCCGTACTGGGTTGTTCTGTTTGGATGCAGAGTAGTGGGGATTTGAGAAACAATGTCCTGTTGGGAATTCCATGTGCCTGTTTTGTCCCAGGTGGACACCACGGAGCAGCTGAAGCGAATCTCCAGGATGAGGCTGGTGCACTACAACTACAAACCCGAGTTTGCAGCCACGGTGGGCATTGACAGCACCTCTGAGACAGGTACATCCCATGGGAATGCACCTCTGAGACAGGAATGTTCCAACAGGAATTCCCTGCCTTTCCCAGGGGCTGTACCCAGCTCTGTACCAGGGCAGCCCCCAGGTGTGGGGTGGGCAAGACGGGCCTTCTAACCTCCCAAATTAAGGAATCTAATGAAATTCCCTTTTTGGTGAGCGGGAGAGAAGGTTGCACTTCCCACAGGGAAAAGATTTCCCCAAGTACACTATGGTGGGATGATGATCTCTATCCATAGAATTTGGGGAACAGCCTTGTCTGACCATCCTCTGCCCTTCAGGGTCTCCAAGGGGCCCCGCACAGCTTGGAATGAGGAAGGGACACCCTGGTGTCACTCCTGGAGTATCCAGAGAGTGCAGGATGATCCCATCCCACTGTTCCATCTCCACACAGGCGTCATCGCTCAGGAAGTGAAGGAGATCCTGCCAGAAGCTGTGAAGGACACTGGGGACCTGGTCTTTTCCAATGGGAAAACCCTGGAGAACTTCCTGGTGGTGAACAAGGTTGGTGGCAGCCAGGAGGTTGGGGAAGCTGGCTTGAGGGAATTGTGGAGCTGGGTATGGGAGAGGAAAAGTGGGATGCCTGGGAAATGCTCCCAGATGAGTTTCAGACCTGGCTGGTCTTCCAGAAGTCAGGAGCAGCCCTGGGTGGATATCGGATACCGGCAGGGAGGAACCAGCCTGACGCTGGTGAAATTTGGCAGCATCTCCCTCGGGAAGGGCTCCTTGTTGGCAGCTTCCTGCAGGGAGGCTCCCAGTCCTAATCTCCCCTTCCTAGATAAGATAAGGTGCTTATGTCAGGATAACCTGGAGCACCTAGTTTCCTGACCTTTCCCAACCTGTGGCAGCCTGGTTGCTGCTCTGGGAATCGAGAGGACAGTCTCCCATGGCACATATGGAGGGCATGGATCATCCAGGTCCAGGTGTGCCTCAGCCTGCTGCCCTTATTCCTGGCAGGAGCGGATCTTCATGGAGAACGTGGGAGCCGTGAAGGAGCTGTGCAAGCTCACGGATAACCTGGAGACACGGATTGATGAGCTGGAAAGGTGGAGCCACAAACTGGCCAAGCTCAAGAGGCTGGACAGCATGAAGTCAACTGTGAGCTCTGGAGCCTTCAGGTACCCATGGAGCCACAGGGAATGTGTCTCCTTTCATCCCAGGAAGTTCCAAGGGGCAGCTCAGATTGGGAACAGGGAGATGAGGAAGGACTGGGATGTTGGCTGGTGTTGCTTCGCCTGGAGTGGATTTAAAGAGCTGAGCTTGTGGATGTTTGGAATTCCCACAGGACCAGCCCAACAACACCCAGGATGAAATGGTCTCCATGTTTCCCTAAAGTCAGTGGCTTTGTCATGGCAAAGAGTTTCCCATGCTTCCAAAATCTTTATCCTGACCCTGCTTATGCCAGTTTTGGGGCAAAGCACCAAAAGGGTTTGTGACTGTCACACCACAAAAACATCTTTTCCCTCCCAGAAAATCCCATTTTTGCCTGGGAAAGCTATCCCTGCCTAGCTCAGCTCTATTCCTCCTTTCTCCTTGCAGCCAAACTGGGAGCCAGTTCAGCCGGGCAGGAAGCGTGCCCCACAAAAAGAGACCCCACAAAGTCGCCAGCAAGGTAAGGGATGGATCCCAAAGGAGCCATGCCGGGAGCAGAGAAGGCTCAGCCTGGAGAAAAGGAGGATCAGGGGGAACCTCACTGTCCACAAATCTCTGGAAGGAGGTTGGAGCCAGGAGATTGGGCTCTCCTCCCTGCTTTATCCAAGAGGAAACGGCCTCAGATTGTCCCAGGGGAGGGCTAGGCTGGATATTGGGGAAAATTTCTTCATGGAAGGGGCTGCCAGGCACTGGAGCATGCTCCAGTGGTGGAGTCCCTGTTGCTGGTGGGATTTAAAGACTGCGTGGATGTGGCACTTGGGGACATGGATTAGCTGCCTTGGCAGTACTGGGGGTAGGGTTGGACTCCATGATCCTAGAGGGCTTTTCCAACCTCAGTTTCCCCATGTTCTTCCTTTCTATCTCCTAACGGAGACATTAAATGACTTCGGTAGTTGAGGATTTTCAGGGAGGCAGGAAGAGAGCTCAGGATGGGCTGGGGGAGATCCGTGCAGGGACCAGAGCAGTGAGGGAGCTGAGCTGATCCAGGGCATCCTGAATGAGCTGATCCAGGATTTTTTCCATCGCAGTCTCCGTCGGTTGTCCCGGAGCAGGCCTGCATCAGCCAGCGCTTCCTTCAGGGCACCATCATTGCCCTGGTCATCATCATGGCATTCAGGTGAGATCCCACTCCTGGGCTCCTGCATCGGCTCCCTCCAGCTCATCCGTTGGGACCGTGCTGTCCATGGGGTGTGCAGCGAGGGGCTGTAGGTCTATGGCTTCTTCCAGAGAATCCTGGAATGCTTTGGGTTGGAAGAGACCTTAAAGTTTATCTGGTTCCAACCCCCTGCCATGAGCTGGGAACTTGCACTATCCCAGTTTGCTCCAGCCTCCACAAACACTTCCAGGGATGGGGCATCCATCTCTCCTGGGCTGAAGTCCCGTGGAAGTGGATTGATCCCATGCCCTATCCTTGATCCCTGCTCCTCCTCACCCTGTCCTTCTCTCTTTTCCAGCGTGGTGTCCATGTCCACGCTCTACGTGCTGAGCCTGCGCAGCGAGGAGGATCTGGTGGACATCGATGGGTGGGTATTTTGGGAATCACTGGGAGGGGTGAGGTCACCTGGGAGAGGCTGGAGCACAGAGACTGGGATTACTGAGCACAGTTCCAGAGCTGCGGACCCTGCCAAGCACACGTCCCAGTCTGATGGTGGTTGAATTATCTGGAGCAAGAAGTGAGGAATAGAGAAGGAAAAGGGAATCTCTTTTTAGGATGTGCTGACTGTTCCTTGGATGCCTCCAGCTGGACTAAAACAGCCTCATCCCACTGGTGCAGCAGGGCTGGCTCAGCTTTGGGAGCTCGTGCAACCTGATAATGAGTCTTTTTTTCTCCCTCTTTTCCCTCTCCCATTTTTCTCCCTCCTCTCCTCCTTTCATCTCTCATCCAACCCATTTTCCTTACGCTTTGTCTTTGATTTCCCCTTTTTTGTCTTTTCCTTCCCATTGTCTTCCATATCCTCTTTCATTCCCTGTCCTCCTGGTCATCTTCCCACTTTCCTGTTCTCCTTGTCTCCCTGCACTGTCCTGTAGCTCCTTTGCTGTACCCACTGCCTGTCTCCTGGCCCTCTTTCGGCACGGGGGTCCCGGAATTCCGGTCGCTCTGTGTCCACGGTATGTGACTATTTCATTATTTAATTATTTAATTCCTTCATCCCTTTTCTTAATTCCTCTTTTTTTTCCTGCACCACGAAAGATCAAGAAACAGAGAAAGGGATGTGAGACTTCCAGTGGGATTCCAGGAGGAAGGGTTATGGGTCTTGTCAGTGAAGGGAAATTAGGAGTAGGAGATGGAAAAATTAATTAATTAAAGGTTAAATAAAGAACTTGCATCCTGCAGGGAGAACAGGAGCAAGATAAAGCTGTGTAAGGAGAAGGGATGAGGCAGTGGAGGAACTTCAGGAATAAGGGCTGGATTTAGACTGGAATGAAGGTGAAGCTCCAGAGGCTTGTGCCCACACTCTCTTTGGAAGACTGGCATTGAGTCTCCTTTTACCTGGAAAACAAATCCCTCTATTTAGACAAATCTTGGAGATGACAAAGTGGTTTTTTTAATTCCTCTAAATAAGTGAAGCTCCATTAATCCCACAGAAACCTGGAGCGATGCTCAGGAATAGGTAAGACATGGACACGGGTCCAGAAGAGCTCCTTGTTCCGCAGACATGAGAGAAAGATTCCCTCCCTTTCCCATCTCCCTTACCCTCAGGAGATGTGGTGTCCTCAGCTCAGGTCTTGGATAGCTGCAGTGAAACATCTGGAATTCCATGGGATGAATTTGGTGGGGGGGGGCGGGGGGATTGTGTGTGTTTCTGAGGAGCAAGGTCTGGAGCAGTCTGTCTTCAAGGGATAAGGGGCACATTCCTTAGGGAGTGGTGAGAGCTTGAAGCCTGTTGATTCCCAAGCACCTAAATCCACCCAGGTGATTCCTGATGGGAGTCAAATCTGCCATGTACACCATGTTCTAGTAGGGTTGCTGGTGTCCTCTGAACCAGCTGGAACTTTTCTCTGCCAGACATGGAACGGCCACACAATTCCCTGTGGAATTTCTGAGCTCTCCTTGATGTCTTCATGGCTCATGTGCCTTTCCCCTGCCTTTCCCTGATAACTCTGTTCTTCTCCACATCTCCACTTACTCCATGTCCCTCTTGCCATCCTCCTGCTGCAGCCACTGTTCCCCCCAGCTACAAGTGGCCCCATTGTCCACACCCAGGAAGTTTCCAGCATCTTTTCCTGCCTTCCAGGTCAAGCCAGAACATTGACAAGACGCAGATCGTTCGATCCACGGCCGCATCCAACGGAGCCGGCAGCAAGACCCCCCCAGAGCACGGTGGGTGATGGATTGGGATGGCTCTGGTTTCGTGGAAGGGCTGCAGGACACTGGGTGCTGCTCCTATTCCATGCCTTGACTTATTCCTTGTGTCCCTGCAGTCCCAGATGAGACACATGGAGTAGCCCTTGGCATTCCCAGTCGCGGTGTGCTGGCCTGTTTCAGCCCTCCCTGTTTTTCCACGTGCTGCTCCGTTGCTCCCACTGACATCTCCTCCACTGTCCCCTCGGAGACCAGCCCTGCCCATGCCACCAACCGGACAGGTGAGGGCCAGCCCAGATTCCCAGAAATGCTGGGACATCTCCAAGGTTTGTGTCACCTCGTGACCTCCTTGTCTTCCTTGTGAGAAGGTCTCCTCAGTCTCCTCCAGGATGAACAATTCCAGCTCCTTCTCCCCTCCAGATCTTTCATCATCCTCATTCCACTCCTTTGGAAGCTCTCTGATAACTGATACCCTTTCTATCCTTATCCTTGGATGTATCCTTTATATACTTCTGGGCCCATGTGGTGCAGTTTGGATCCTGTAGCCTGGGATATGTGGGAGCTGGAAAGGATTTGGAGCTTCCCATGTTGCCAGCAAAAAGTCATGGGAAGCTACACCAGGCACAGCTCACCTGAGCAGCCCTACCTTGAGGTTTGATCTCATTCCATCATCAGCTCCATCAGGCACAGAGGGAATAGAAGCACAGAATCTTGGAATGTTTTGGGTCAGAAGGGACCTTAAAGCCCATCTGGTTCCACCCCTGCCATGGGCAGGGAACCTTCCACTATCCCAGGTAGCTCCAAATCCTGTCCAGCTTGGCCTGGAACAGTTCCAGGGATCCAGGGGCAGCCACAGCTTCTCTGGGCAACCTGGGGAGCATCAGGAGGTGACATGGGTACAGGGTGATCCCAGTGCTCCCAACCTTTCTCTGCCTCTCAGCACAACCTTCTCCCGTTTTTCCGCAGACCAAAGCCAGCCCTCCCTCCTGCCAGTGACAAATATCAAAGCCAAATCCAGGGGCATCACCGGGAAATCCACCTCCTACACCAAGTGGCCAAAGACTCCTGACAGGTCTCAGAGCTTCGGCAGCCCCAATGCCAGCCCCTCCTCCCCCTTCTCCCACATCCAGGGCAAATCCAAGTACATCTCCAACCTCTCGCTCTCCCGCAGCAACTCCCGGCAGCAGCGCAGCCTCCGGCAGCCGGTGAGCGAGCGGCCCCGCACGGAGCAGCCCGGCACGGATGGTACGTGGATCCCATCTTCTTTCCCTTCCAGCCTCGGGATTTTCCACCCCTTGCCGTTCCTAAATATCTTGTTCTCTCCCTGGTAGGGCCAAGCCCGGTGCTGCAATCCATCCGGATCCTGGAGGTCAACCTGGCCATCCATTCCCAGTACTGTGCCGCTGCTGACGCATGCAGGTGAGTGGGAAGAGCTGGCTGGTGGCACTTTGGTGTGAGCAGCAAATAGGAAAATCTGGGATTTTTTCCAAGATTTTCTTGGGTGTTTCCTGCCATCACCTCATGCTGCTCCATGGGAAGAGGAGCTGGTGCTCCCAGCTTTCCCTCAGGGGTTGTCTTTGGTGGTGGGCTTGTCCTTGGGACATTGGGAGGTTCTCCCCTCCGAGTTCTCAGCCTGCCAGGGATTTTGAGTCCTGTCCTGACCTTCCCACAGCCTGGTGACATCTAATGTTCTTTCTGTGTTCCCAGGACTGGGAATTTCAGCTACCGCATCCCTGTGAGCCAGCAGACAGCTGTGAACACCAACCTGACCCTGGAGATGAAGTGAGTGCCCATGAATCATGTCCTTTGGGAGCCCCTGGAGTGGCTAATGTGGCCGTGGTGGGAAAGGGACACTTGTTCCCCCTTCAGGCTCTCATGGTGTCCTCTCTTCTCAGCTCCTCCTCCACTGTGTCCATCTCCCTTTGTGACCTTGTCTCCAGTGATCCCTGCCAGGATGCTGTGAGCAGGAACAGCTCCACTGACTCCACCGATGCACAGGTAAGGAGAAGGGGACAGCTCACAAAATACACATGAAATAATTGAGGTTGGAAAAGTCCAACCATTCTTCCAGCACTGCCAAGGCCACCGTGTCCCCAGGTGCCAAATCCACACGGCTTCTAAATCCCTCCAGGAGTGGGGACTCCACTGCTGTCCTGGGCAGCCCTTCCCATGAAGGAATTTTCCCTAACACCCAACTTAAACCCCCCCCGGCACAGCTTGAGGCCGTTTCCTCTCATCCTATCCTTGGTTCCCTGGGAGCAGAACCTGATCTCTGGCTGCCCTGTCAGGGAGTTATGCAGAGCCAGAAGGTCCATCTGGAGCCTCCTTTCCTCCAGGCTGAGCCCCCCCAGCTCCCAGAGCCCTTCCTCATCCCACTTGTGCTCCAGGAAACGTCCATGGGGTCACTTGACAGCACGAGGCCGTGGATTTCCTCACAGTCTAGATCCAGCCTGGAGGACATCCCCCAAGCTCATCCCTGACCTCATGCCAGCTGTTCCCCTTCCTTCCCCAGGACACCACGCACCGCTGGCCTCTGGTGATGCTGTCCTTCCGGGAGTTTTCCTACCACTTCCGAGTGGCGCAGCCGGTGAGTGCCCGCAGCTTGTCCAGGGCCACGTGGAAGGAGAGAAATGTGGGATTTATGAAATGTGGGAAATGCAGGTTTAGCACCAGGAGCTTCCCACAGTCCTGTAGGTGGTAGGAGGATGACCTGTCCCTGCCTCAGGCCATAATCCAGGCAGAATTCTGCCCTTGGAGTCGCACCCCTGTCTCTCTAAGCTGCTTTTCCCGTTCCTAGGGCCGAGCCGACTGCAGCACTTCCCTGGAGCAGCTGGGACACCTCTTCACTGACTATTACTTCCAGTTCTACTGGCTCTGTGAGTGAGTCCCGGCAGCACCAGTGCCCTCTGCTCAGAGACAGGAGGGGAACTGGTGCCACTGGGAGCCTCCCGAATTCCCTGCTCCGCTGGCCCCCAGCCCCACCTCCTCCCCGTGTCCTGCGGCAGCTCCGGAGCTGGAATGGTGATGGCTGGAGACACTGAAGCTCAGGACAGACAGGACCTAAAAGCCACCACCAGCCCTGTGGTGGCTCCTGAGGAACCGATTCCCAGCATCCCACACCCCTCTCCTTCCCTTAGGGGGATGTTTGTGTCCTCCATCATTTCCCCCTCCCCTTCCAACACTGGATTTGGAAGCATCACACCGGACTGAGCGTGGACAGCTCTCCCACATCTCAGAGGGATGCTCCTTCCATGGACAGGAGCCCCACCCGGTGCTCCCAGATGTCCCACATCAGTTTTTCACAACACTGGAATTGCTTCAACACTGGAGCCCTTTCCAAGAGCCAAACGCTGGAGTTTGGCCTGGAAAGGATGGCTGTGCCTGGACCTACTGGAAGTTCTACACTGGAGTTGCTGTTCCTTCTGCTTGGCCTAGGGCCACTTCCCACAGACTTCCCAGACACTCCTGGACCTGCCAATGGACACGTTCCTCTAGGAACAACCGGAGAAGGAGCAGCTTCGACGTCATCCCCCCTCTTCTTTGTGCTCTTAAATCCCATATCCATGTGGGATATCCAGGTCTGGATGGATAAAACCCCCACTCAAGCTGCTGCTGAGGCCATGCCACACCTGGGGACACTTGTCCCCAAGCCAGGGGTGACAAATGACTGGGACTTACCCACATTTAGTGTGGTAGGATCCGTTTTTATCCGCTTGGAAGCGGCGTGTGCGGAGCTGCCTGGTCGGCTCTGGAGCCAGTGCCAACCTCTGCCCAGATGTGCAGCACTGGCAAAGCCTGGAGTGCCCTGCAGAGCAAGGCCAAGTCCCTGGGAACACCAGGATCTGTGTCCAGGCAGGATCTCTGCCTCAGGAGAGGGGTGTTCTCCCAAAAGTTGGGATGGCAGCAGCTGCAGGCTGTCCCTGCCCTCACAGAGGTCTGCTGGGGGGATTTGGGATATTTTACTGTTACAAGTCCTTAAATTGCTAAACTACTGAATTCTTGTGGGGTTTAAGCCGTAAAAAAACAGGAATTTCCTTCTGGCCCCATTGAGCCACGTGTGTCCTGTGGGAAAGCCAAGTGGTTCCCTGTGCTTCCTCCTCCCCGTCCTGCTCCTCGTGCTACAGAGGAGATGTCTGTGTTCCTGGAGGCTCAGCCACCTCCAGGTTATTCCAAAATGGATTTCCCTGAGGAAACAAGTGAGGGGGGAATGCCACATGTTGATCCTAAGGACACTCTAAATCTGCTCTGGAGAAACAAAGATGGATTTCATCCAGGTAAAGTGATGGTTCCTGGGCACGTCTGGTTTTATCTCCCATCATCCCCTCCTGCGCTTATCCCAACAGAGCAGCCCTGAAATTCCTGGTTGATGTCACTTGGATTTGGCATCTGCCCCCAAGAAGCTGTTTGTAGGGAGGTTTCAAGGCCTGGAAACACTGAATTATAGTTACTAAAATCCACTGAATCCTGGGAAGCAGAGAATAGTGGGTGAGCAGGGCATTCCTAGCAGCCAAGCAGTTGGAAAACCTAGTTTTGGGAAGCTCAGTGAGACAACAGGATGCCCCAAGGCTTGGAATACCTATGCACAAGGAGGGGGGGCTCCATGCTCAGCAGGATTCTCTGTTTTTCCCTGAAATTGGGAAGGAAACACCTGGATGTAGCTGAGTGCTCTTCCCTCCACCTGCCCTGAGCAGTTTTTCCTGGTTTTAAACTGGGAAGTAACTTCCTTGGCAGATTTGTTGTTCCCTTGGCAATCAGTGGCCCAGGCTGGCACGTCCTTCCTCAGGTGAGTGATGCCGAGATGGGATAAAGCCCCTGGAAGAGGAAACAGGGAATGTTGGGGGGGCCAGAGCCTGCAATCACCCCCCCTCAGCCAAGACACCCCAGTACACTCCAGCTCACTCCTGAGGGAAGGAATCAATCAGTGGTGGCCCAGGAGGAAGTTGGGATCTCTCAGGTTTCCCCAGGATGCTCAGCCATGGGATTTAGGGAGATTCCCAACAAACCAAGTGCCTGGATACATCTCTAGTGCCTTTTTCCTTATGGAACAGCCCCAAGGAACAGTGTTTTCCCACATATATTCCCAAATGCTGCCTCAGACATGGTGCCCAGGTAGTTCAACTGGGATGTGGCAATTCCTGGAGTGCCAAAGCCAGCCCTACCCACATGGAGCTGGCAGCAATCCCTGGGATCAGGAGAGGACAGGGATTCAGGATGAAGTTTTTAGTGTCAATAGTACCTTATGTCTTAAAGTGGCACAGGTTGCCCATAGAAGTTTTGGATGTTCCATCCCTGGAAGTGTTCCAGGACAGCTTGGATGGGTTTGGAGCTGCCTGGATTAGTGGAAGGTGTCCCTGCCCATGGCAGGGAGTGGGGCTGAATGGGCTTTAAGGTCCCTTCCCACCCAAACCATTCCAGGATTCCGTGATAAAAATCATCCATCGGCTGCTGCCCAGCGAGGCAGCAACGAGCTCCAAAGGGGTTCCGAATTGTAAAGGAGTCATGGAATTGCTTCCAGGCCCGTGGAAACAGCTGTCTGCATGGATTTCCCCCCCCCAAAAACGCATCTCTGCCCCTTCCCTGTCCCCAATCAGTACCAAGAGAGTTCACAATCAGGCCTTTCCCTGTGTGGGATGGAGGGAATTCTGAGCCGACCTCTCCAGCTTGGGGAAATCCCTCCCTATCCAGCGGCAAAGAGACATTCCTGGCAGGAAGGAAGACAAAAGGTGGAGAACGAGGCTGTTTGGGAGTTGTTTCAAAAGCAAATTCCCAACTCTTCTGTCCTACTGTTGGAGCTTAAAGCCTGTAAATAGAGACTATGGCACCACTGGAAGAATTAAGGAAAAAAAACACCACGTAAAGCACTAATTTTGTTGGTTTAAATGTTGCTGCCACAGCTTTAATCACTGTATTTTGCCAGCCAGTTCGTAGAGTTGCATTTGTAGCAGGTTATTATTGATTCCTGGTTTTTATTTGTGGGGAACAAGCGTGGTTTCCCTCTTTTCTTCCTGATTTATATTTATATTTTGCTGAATTTGAGGGCTGAGTTTCCGGATTCCCCGGATTTTTTTTTTCTTTGTTTGTTTGTTTGGTTTGTTTTGCTTATTTAGACTTTGTTTTATGCTGGAGGTAAATGTGCCCATATGAATAAAATATATAAATACTGCTTTGTATCCAAGGATGGCTCCTGGTGTTTTCCTCCCTTTCTGAGGAAATAACTCAGGTGAATGTCTGTAAAACTGCCCACGGGATGGAGGAAATTCCAAGTCTTTAGTCGGTGGAAGTTTCTGGATATGCCCAGTCATGGTTCTTTGGAATGGGGATAAAAAGGAGAAAGGAAGGAGGAAAAAGAAATTAGGAGGGGAAGATGAAGGAACTGGGAGAAAAATGAAGAAAATAAAGAGGGAAATAAAAGGTTAAATGGACAAGGGGAAAAGGAAGAAGAAAGCAGAAGGACAAAGGAAGGAGGAAGAAAAAAGGAGGGAAAAAGAAGAAAGAAAGGAAAAGGAAAACCCACCTCTGACCTCTCATTGCTCATGTCAAAGGGCAGACTCAGATCCAGAAGGACCTAAAAGTCCACAGAAGGAAATCTTCCTTCCCTGGGGCTTGGAGTTGTGATTTGGAAGTGGAATGGTTTGAAAGCTGGGCTAAAATTCCCATCTGCCTCTTGAAGACACATACATCAATTCCTTGTTTCTAGGCCAGGCAGTTAATTCAGGAATTAATGAAGGGCACATCCAGCACCACAAAACTCCTGGTTAGAGATGAGAACAGGCACAGCATTCCCCAAAAAAGGGTGAGGGGATGTGACGGCAAAGGAGACTGAGGGATTAAAAGCAGATTTAAGATTTATTTTGCACAGCCTTGCTGCACCAGGACACAAGGTGGCACTGGAACACCTGTGACCACACAGAGCACAGAAATCTGGGATAACAGTGGCCATATCCCAAAGTACCTGGATCTTGTGCCAATATGGAGAAAGGGAGGCTGAGGAGGGACCTTTCCACTCGGCTCAGCTCCATGACAGGAGTGTGCAGCCAGGTAGGATTGGTCTCTTCTCTCAGGGAAAGTGACAGGACAAGAGGAAACAGCCTCAAGCTGCACCAGGGGAGGTTTAGGATGGGCATTGGGAAAAATTCCTTCATGGAAAGAGTTTTAGAGCACTAGAACAGGCTCCAGAGGTGGAGTCCCCATGCCTGGAGGGATTTAAACACCTTGTGGCTGTGGCACTTGGGGACACGGGTTAGTGGTGGCCTTGGCAGTGTAGGAGGAGTGGTAGGACTGCGTCATCCTAGAGGACTTTTCCAGCATTAGACCTCCCATAATTCTATCCAAGCTCTTTGGGAAAGCCAGGTTAAAAAAATAAATAAAGACAAACCAGCAGTCCCCAGGCCGGTGTGTCACAGAGCCACTTTTATTCACCTGTGGGTCACTGCCTGTCGCAGACCACACCTGCTACAGGCGTTTTCTCCTTGAAATACAAAAGAAAATATAAAAAGAGCTTCCCCGAATCCCATCCAGGCCCCCCGGGGGCTCAGACGTAGATCCCGACCCAGAGCAGCAGGAAGAGGACGCCGAAGCCCATGAAGAGCGAGGCCACCAGCGAGATCAGCAGCTCCTTGTAGATGTCCCGGGTGTACTTGGTGGATGTCACCTCGTAGCTGCCAGGCCGGGGGTTAAGGTGATAACAGAGGCACAGCAAGGCGAGGGGACCCCCACCCTCTCCCCTGCCCCCGGGAATTAGGGCGACAATCCGGGATTGCGAGGCACGGCAAGGGGACGGCACCCCCCGCCCGCTCAGCCGCGGGGATACACGAAGAACCAGGCGGTGAAGAACATGCCGATGGCCAGCAGCACCACGGTGAGGTGCGGGAACACGGCCGGGTTCACCGGGCTCGTGTATCTGCTCATCGCCTCCAGCTCCTGCGGGGACACGGCGGTGTTCAGCGGGGCCGGGTCCCCTGTGGCAACCCCCGGTCCCCCCATCCCCACCCTCACCATGTCGCCAGTCCCTGCTGCGACACGTCGGCTCCGCTCCCGCCGCCGCACGTCCGCCCCCCTCCGCCGCCGGAAGTGGAAGTGAGGGCGGGAACGAGGCGCGGCGAGCGCGAGCTGCCTTCCCATTGGCCGGCGGCGGCTCCCGGCGGGCTCGGCGGCGGAGCGCGGGAGCGGCGGTGCGCGAGCGGCCGGGGAATGGCTGAGGGATAACGGGGATGTGAGGGGAAACGGGAGCTCTCAGAGGTAATGGCTGAGGGATAACGGGGATGTGAGGGGAAACGGGAGCTCTCAGAGGTAATGGCTGAGGGATAACGGGGATGTGAGGGGAAACGGGAGCTCTCAGAGGTAATGGCTGAGGGATAACGGGGATGTGAGGGGAAACGGGAGCTCTCAGAGGTAATGGCTGAGGGATAACGGGGATGTGAGGGGAAACGGGAGCTCTCAGAGGTAATGGCTGAGGGATAACGGGGATGTGAGGGGAAACGGGAGCTCTCAGAGGTAATGGCTGAGGGATAACGGGGATGTGAGGGGAAACGGGAGCTCTCAGAGGTAATGGCTGAGGGATAACGGGGATGTGAGGGGAAACGGGAGCTCTCAGAGGTAATGGCTGAGGGATAACGGGGATGTGAGGGGAAACGGGAGCTCTCAGAGGTAATGGCTGAGGGATAACGGGGATGTGAGGGGAAACGGGAGCTCTCAGAGGTAATGGCTGAGGGATAACGGGGATGTGAGGGGAAACGGGAGCTCTCAGAGGTAATGGCTGAGGGATAACGGGGATGTGAGGGGAAACGGGAGCTCTCAGAGGTAATGGCTG